ATTTGTTGTGGTGACATTTTTGTTGTAGTGAAGTGACACTTTTTTTAATTGAAATGCCACTAGAGCCTTGTATGTTTGTGGCTCTATGACATTTTTCTAAAAAATACCACCAAATATTCTTTTTGTGACATTTTTTAAGAACATGCCACTAGTATGGTGTCACTAAAATGTGTTTTTATTGTAGTGGTGACTTGTAAAGCTGTATGTATTTGAGTTTTTATTTTTATTTATTTGTGTCAAATTATGTGGTATAATTAGGAATAACTCATGCCTGAAGGCACTGCAAACAATCCTTTTTTAATATCACACATGGTAATATCACTCTAATTTTAAATTCACATAGAAAGAGGAACAAAATATATAAAGAAAACTGAAATAAATAACTAATAAAACAAACATAAAATATATATAGACACAATGTTTAAGTAAGAACAAAAATCAAATTCTTACCACAATGTTTCGATATGAAAGGTCTTAAAGAAGTCCACAATGCTTCAGACACAATATTTCAATCACAAACTGTAAACATCAATAAAGCAATTAAATTGGACAACATGCTGTCAACATTATTATGTAACAAACCTGCTAGAAATTAAAGATTATTGAAACAAAAGATATCCACAAATTAGAGTAAAAATTATTGAAAAATTATTGAAACAAAAGATGCTGAAAGAGGTGAGGTTTGAAAAGAGAGCAAGAGAGAAAAGGGAAGCGATGATGCTGCAGAGCCACTGAAATGGATTTCAAATAGGATGAGCTGCAACTTTGAGCAGTGCAGTTTTCATTATTAAATTGAATTGTAAACTGAATCAAACGTCTTGTCAAAGCTATCTAAGCCAAAATCATCACCATCAAAGATGATATAGACAAATGTCCCTTCAAAATTTAAAAAGGAGCTTTAAATAATCGAACTCCTAAAAAAATACTAATACAATACATTTGCAGACTTACTGGCCCAATTCCCATTTGGTGGACATGAACCTGCAGAGGTATCTCTACCAGAGGTGAGATCGATGTCTCAGCAGCTGCAGTTGAGGCTTATTGGGACTTAAAATTTGATGGAGCTTCGGGAGCTGGGAAAGGCGGAGCTGGCATAACACTAACCAGTGAAGAAGGAGAGAAGTTTCATCTATCATATAAGCTTGATTTTGAATGTTCAAACAACGAGGCTGAATATGAGGCGTTGATACTGGATCTAATCACTGCCCAAAAGAAGGGACTCCGCAAGTTGAAAATTTTGGGCGACTCCGAGTTAGTTGTCAGGCAAACAATGGGTGATTTCGCCTTAAAGGAGCCTCTGTTGGGCACGTATCGCACCGTGGTTCAAGGGTTGCTCACTCAATTTGATGATGTCCAAATCCAACATACCCCTCGAACACACAACCGTTTCCCCGATGCCTTGGCTACACTGGGGGCAAAGGTAGATATACCAGATGATAGTATAGCCATCGTCATCGAGAAAAGAACAACACCAGCAGTGTTAGCCGAAGAACATACAGAGCAAGATGCTGAGGGATGGAAAGTCGATATAATCCAACAAAACAGTTGAAAACAGGCCAGGGAACAATCAGACTAGCAGAACTTGCATAATTTCTGCTCCCCAGAGGAGAGTTGTATTTTTGCGGTGCCAACAACTTGCTGGCAAGGTGCGTAGGTAGACAAGAAGTAACTTACAAACTTAAGCAAATCCATGCTAAGTCTCGTGGAGATAGAGATATCAGTCTATACCGACGGATACAGAGGCATGGGTATTACTGGCCAGAGATGGAAAAAGAAAGTATTGAGTTGTAGAGACAATGTGCAAAATGCCAATCCCATCCTAAGGAAGAGGAAACCCATTTCTTAAGCAGTGAAGAATGGAGGCAGCCATATGTCGACTACCTTGGAAATGGTGCACTGCCTGAGAACAAAGCCGATGCAATCAGAGTTAAGAGGCGGGCCCTGCGCTTCTTCCTTAACCAAAGGATGAGGCAAATGAGGTGCCGAGGGAAGCCCACAAGACAGAACATCAAGGAGGGCAGCGATTATATGGACATCTCATTCACCTCGGCTACTACTGGCCGACAATGGAAGAAAATGCTAAAACTTTGTAAGGAGATGCCAATCCTGCCAGAAGTTTGGGAACTTGATACATGCACCAGCGGTTGAGCTGCACAACATCAAGACCCCTTGCCTGTTCCATAGTTGGGCATTTGACAGTGCAACAATTGAAAGGCCACAGATTGCAGCGACTAAAGTTAGTACCAAGTGGGGGTGGAGGCTATACCGATGAGGAAGGCAGACGGGGCAGGAGTGGCTAACTTCATCAGAGAAAGAATAATGTGTAGGTTTGGCATACCAAAAGTAATGCTGTCCGACAATGGAACTCCCTTTGTAAATCGTCATGTGGGAAGACTGCTGAACGCCTACCAGATCAAGCAGCACAAGTCAAGTCCATACTACCCCCAAGGGAGTGGACAAGCTGAGGCGACCAACAAAACCATCATCCGAATATTGAGTAAAATAATGGATGAAGCAGGGGGCACTTGGTCTAAACGACTCCCCATAGCACTCTGGGCGTATAGAACGTCAAAGAGAAAGCCAACTCAGAAAACCCCATTTACCCTAGTGTACGGGTCCGAAGTTGTGTTACCAGTTGTGTTGGCAGTACCCTCAGCAAGAATGGCTATGTCAGCACACTTTGTTCCAGATAGCAGAAAGAATGACATAGAGGCAGCTGAAGAAAGAAGAGATCGGGCCTCGCGGGCAATAGAAAAGTATCATCAATCCGTAGCTCGTGCCTACAATCAATCTGTTCAGCACAAGAAGTTCAATAAATTGAACTTGGTATGGAAGACAGTGGACGCAATCATGCGTGGGCAACCTATTCCTAAGTTCTCACCAAGATGGGAAGGCCCCTACAAAGTTGTTGAGGCAAGCAGCAGCGGGTACTAGAACTTGACAAGAGTAGATAATGGGTTCAAAACTGGCCCTATCATCGCCACGTTATCTGCATGCTCGAGGAAACCATCGACTGCCTGAAGCCTGTCCCTCATCCACGATAGGTCCAAACCGTTCCTCTCAAAGTCGCTCTGGTTTGCATCGGCACTTTCCACGAACTTGCTAGGGGTGGTCAGAATCTTCTTAGTAGCAGGATCGCAAATGAAGTTGGCGAGTGACTCCAGCAGTGCTATCTGTACCATAGATCCAGGAACGTTAAAAGCAGTAAAGGTGCCGGGGTGCAGTGCCTGGATGCGCGGTGAGAGTGGAAGCAGCTACAGAGGAGACCCAGTAACTTAGAAAAGAAACTTTCTCTGAGGGCTGAGGGGACTCCCTCACACCCCCGCCAGCTTCAATCACTGGAGAGAGACTGGTGGAGCGACCAAAGGTCTGAGGACGATGCACTTCCCTGAAAATGATTGCCCAGCAGCATTGGAATGGGTAGATGCTGCGTTGGCGACGAGGTGAACTAGCCTCGCGAGAAAGACTGAAGCCGCCTGCACCGTCATGTCGCTCCGAAAAGAGGTTATCCATCTGGTAGTCTCCAAAGTTCAGATCTAGAACAGTAGTGGTATCCATCTCAGTACAAAAATCTTGGGATATACCCCAAGGTCAGTTGGCACTTTCGGAAAGTGGGTGGGGTACAAATCTGCCAGCTGTTGAGAGGTTGCCGAAGCAACTAGTGACAGCAGTAACAATGTGGGTGGCTAAAGTGACAGTTACCTTTGCAAGTCTGTCCAAATTTAGAGGGGTCACCGCAGGAATAGTGGAAGCAGCCGCTACACTTGCACTCTCCTTCGCCACTTGGGCGTTCGGTAGTGGGGTTTGCTGAACCAATGGAGACTCAGTGGACTGGGAGGAACCACCAGATTCAGCTCTAAAGGGAGGTGGTGCAACTTCCAGCGGCTCTCTCATGCCGGTATCTTCCCTTGGGTTGTCGGGGAAAAAATAATCTCCGCCGACAGAGGAACGGTCGAAGTGCACAGAATTAGCGGGGTTTGGAGGCTCTGCACCCTCAGTAACTAGGCCGCCCGCAACAACTTCCACAACAGGGGGAACTTCATTTTCTACAGCCTCCACAACTGGCTCAGCCTTAGTAGTTGGTGCGGCCCCAGCACTTGGTTCTTCTTCAACATCTGGAAGTACTGCCCTGCGGGTCGTGAACCTTGTGACCCTTATAGCAGTGGGAAGGTCGTCGTCGTTGTCGTCGTCTGAATCTGAGGAAAGTTCGATGGCAGCAGAAGAATCTTCGGGGCCGATGGCATGGCCGGTGGGCAGTGAAAAGAAAAAAGGTTGTGTGATTACCAAAGTAAACGTAAGAAGTCCAAGGAAGCAATGCAAAATATTTTCTAAGTATGGGTACGTTTCGGAGTGTCTTCTTACTTGGTGAGGCACGTGCCTCGACAACTGATGTCGTTGCCTCTTGGGCTGCCCTTAGTCTGGAGTGGGTCATCCGTAACTGTCGTGCCGACTTGAGGGGGAGCAATTTGCTCCAGACGGGTGAGGCTTCTTAATGGTAGTCAGGGATAGAAGCTTGAAGCGACAGAATATATTGTCTGTTTCCCTAGGCCAGAGGGCAGACGAAGAGATAAGTCAGGCTGCGGGATGGGTTCCATCGCAGGGACTACGGGAGCACTGTTGCAAAAGTTGAAGAAAGAATTGAGGTTGCGGTGCCAGAACAGCCTTTTACTGGGAATAAAGCCGCCCTTTTTTCCAAGTGAGGGAAGTTCCATGAAGCCTAAGCCCTCCATAAGTAGAGCGGTATAATCACGGGCAAACCACTGAAAGCTTTGGTGGTAATCAGTCTGAAGCGGAGGGGCATGGGGGACGCCCTGATACATGCCGAACTGCTGAGGGACCCTGTCCAGTCGATAGATGATGCTGGACATGGCCTCGTCGTTCCACACGGGTAGAAATCCGGGGCGTATCATGACAGCAATAAGAAGGTTGTTGGCCTGGCCACTGTCGAGGGAGAAATCAACGTGGCGAGCCTCGGAAAAATAGAATGGAACCACATAAATGCCTGGAAGAAGCTAAGTGAAAGGGCGGAACACACATTCCTCCATGCAGTCTACATAATCTGCAAGGGGTCTGTTAGTGCCAAGACCAGACCACCGAGAGATGCGAGGAAAGAAGGGAGTGGCGCACTTGCCTCGTGACAGGTCGACCCTTTGCATCTAGAACAGGATGACCCTTTGCATCAAGGACTTCGTCTGTGGAGAAAGGCTCATGTTCCAGGGCCCGTGGCAGGGAATCTCTCATAGAAGAAAGCGGACAGGAACTGAGTGTGTACAAAGCTCTACACATCATAGCGGGCCCATGGATCGCTCAATGTTCGAATGGATGAGATCAAGGCGGAAGTATAAGTTCCCCAAGAAGAGGGGGGCCAGAGGGATCTGGCTGCCGCTGTGAAGTTTGACAGCCAAAGGGAACACCAGAGGGTTAATACACTCAGCAGGGTTGCTGGGGAGAACAAAAATAAAAATAAAAATGAAGTAACTGACGAAGGCGGCCAAGTACAAGTTGCTGCGGTAGCCCGGCCCAACTACAGAGTTGCGACTCTCCTCTATGATGTACCCCACAACTGGTTGCAGGTCCTTGAAAAAATGCTTCAGCCAGAAAGATAAGTGGTTTTGTCCCTCTTGGCCCTCTCCTGGAGTAGTTCCCCAGTCCTAAGATCAGACCAAGAGCCATACTTCCGCGCCTCTCGAAAGGCTCCTTGGACGGAAGTGACAGAAACTTGTTCTGCAGTAGTCAAGGACGCTAGATCGAAGGGGTGATCTCCACGAGTGCTCAAGAGTAGAAGGACGGCAACATCTTCGAGGGTTGGAGTTATCTGCCCCCATGCCAAAGAAAAAGTGTAAGTGCTGCGGTTCTAGCGGGAGACAACCATATCAGTGTTGGTCTGTACTTTGCGCACTGATAACACCCTTGAAATCGAAACAACATTGTAGAGACGAACATCCCGCAATTGCTGCTCGAACCCATCATCTGCAATGATGTCATCAACCCAGAGGGACCAGCCTGTTGATGGGCCCGAGTGAGTGCGATAGTAGATGTATGAATGGTGAAAGTCACCACGCTCCACGCAAAACCGCTGCACAGAGACTGGGTTCACCATGTCAGCATCATCCAAAGCATCCTCACTAAAAGGAAGCAGAGGCTCCTCCAAAGGAAGGGCATCAGGAACGAAGGAGTCAACGGCCTTCCAGAAAGGGTAAGTTAGCCCTCCGAAATATGAGGCCCTCCTCCACTGAGTAGGGGGTGGGTCAGCCCTGTCATGTAGAAACCTTATGCTGGCCATAAGGAAGTATAAAGAAAAGTTAAGAAGACTCTGGAAAGTGGGGACAAGGAAGAGAAGAAGACAAGGAGACAGAAAGTATGTTTGGGGGGAAGTGGGAGACCAGTGGACCCATGGGCGCTATTTATAAAGAAAGTAGGAAAAGGGTGTCGACACGCTTCCTTAGGCCCATTATGACCCGTCAGTCAAGAGGGTAATCCTTTTCAGAGTCAACACAACTTCTGACCTGACCGACGCAACCCTTGGTTTACTTGCTGGCATCATGCACGCACGGGAAACCAGGAACGTGTCCCCCACTGGGCCAGGGAGCAAATGTAGAGGGTCAGAAATTAAAACCCCAATTAAGTATGGGCCTAAGTACTGAGGTCGCCCCAAAGAGGCGACCAGGAATGAAAAAAGAGCATGGGCTAAAGTCCAAAGGAAGTAGGCCAACAGTGGGCCGGAGTAGGTCCGACCAGCCAAGGGTCCAAACAGTCTCCACGAAGGAAAATGACCGAGTCAAGTTGCAGCGGGAACGCATGCGACGGTCAAGTTGCAGAGGGAATACATGCAGCGGGGAAGTTGCCGAGGTACTTTGCCTTAGCGCCACCATTCCTAATATCTTCGGCTCTGCCGCCATCCAAAGTTGATGAGGGAATTGCCGAGGCGACAGTTGCGGCGACGAAGTTGCGGAGGCACTTTGTCTTAGCGCCGCCATTCCAAGTATTCTCGGTTCCGTCGCCACCTGGAGTTGCTGAGGGAAGGGGAGAACCGAAGCTACCAAGTTGCAGAGGCGCCCAAGTTGCATAGGCACTTTGTCGGCGCCGCCATCTCCAATATTGTCGGTTATGCCATTTGAACTTGCCACGGGAAATGACTGCCGCAGCAACTACTGCCGCCGCAACCAACTTGCGGAGGGAACATCCCGCCAAGGTGATAGCAGCCTCTGGGAAAAGCTTCCCCTCTGCAAGTAGAGGGTAATGCCTGGCGCTGATAGTAGGCCTCAAGGCATTACTAGCCCAGGGCTGATAGCAGGTCCCAAAATTCATTTAACTTGGCACTGATAGCAGGCCCCAAGACTTACTGGTTGGAGTTGATGGCAAGCCCAGGGTACCAGTTTACCGCGGCGATCCCGCGACGATGGGAGCAGGGTAGCCCGAGCATAAGTGACTTTCTTTCCATTACCCAGGTCATAGACCTGCCTTAGTCGCACGGGCCAAACTAAGGATGCCCCTTGGGGTTGGTACTAAGGAACAACACGGCTGATAGCAGGCTTGGCTGTGGCCTTCGCCTTGGGAAGCTGGGGAGTTTGTGGTTAGGTGGCTAAGGGTGAAGGCTTCGCTGCAATGAGCATGAACATAGTCGATAGCAGACTAATGGAGTCCTGAGAATGCATGCAGTGGCCAAGTAGATCTGAGAAGGCAAGTGCAGCTGCAAGGTTTACCGCTGCAAGTGCACTTGCTGAGGTTCGAGCTGAGAAGGCAAGTGCAGCAACAAACGCTCCGGTCGCAACTGCACTTGCTGAGGCTCAAGAGGGAGTTGCAACGCCAAACACTCCCATCGCAACTACACTTGCTGAGGCTCAAAAAAGTAGTTGCGAAGGCAAACAGATAATACACAACACATGTAGGAAGACACGTTGCACGTTCTGCCTAGTGGCTCAAGGCAAAATATT